TTAGGATCAGATTACAGGAAAACTCCACAAACTCCTTTCCTCCCAGATTGTCTTTTTGGTGTTAACAAACCACTTTTGGGGAGTTTTTGCTTCTCAGGGCTGCAGGCTGTGTTCCCTGCCCCATAACCCCGTGTCCTGGACAGAGGGTTTCTCCCATCCTGTGGCTCTGTGTTATTCCTCTGTTCCCAGTGGGAAGGAGGCTGCCTCAGGTGGCTCACAATAGACATAAGCTGCTGCTTGGTTCTGATACCACAGAACCAGTGGCTTTTGCCTCTGGTTTTCCTGGCAGCTGTGCTTTGGCTTCCCTCCCTTTCCCTGGGCATGGGGAATTTAAAACCACCTTTCCCCAGGGTTTCTCTTCCCACAGCCTTTCCTGCTTTTCCAGTCTTACCTTGGGTGTAGTGTTGAGGCCAGGGGCTGTGTGGAAAGCTCTGGGGCTCCTCAGAGCTGCCTGGGGAAGGGAAGTGGGCAGGAAGCCAAGGCTGGCTCCGTGGAACACGTGGGAGCCGCTGGAGATGCGGCGTGGGCGGTGGGAGCGTGTGGTGGGGATGGCTCATCCATCCCCCTCAGAGCTGCTGTGAGGAGGGAGAAGCTGGAGCCCAGATGTAGGTGGGAGGTGAGGGGTTGTGGTGAGGAGGCAGCTCGTCCCCTCACACCACATTTGGTGTCACCGATCCGTGTGCTGTCCCCTTGGCAGGTGGTGGCCAACGCGGTGGCGGCGCTGTCGGAAATCGCGGAGTCCCATCCCAGCAGCAACCTCCTGGACCTCAACCCCCAGTCCATCAACAAGCTGCTCACAGCCCTCAATGAGTGCACTGAGTGGGGCCAGATCTTCATCCTGGACTGCCTGGCAAACTACATGCCCAAGGATGACCGGGAAGCACAGAGGTGAGGGGACAGGCAGGGCTTGGCACTGCCCCTTCTCCTCTGAGGAGAGTCTTCATCCTCCTGACCCTGCTGCAGGAGGTGGGACAGCAGGCATCTGCTGCACCTGTGCCTTGGGCATGGCCATCTGGAGCCTGCCCTGGTCCTGTAGTGAGCCCTGGCACTGGGATTGTGCTCCTTGAGCTGCTTAAAATGTGGCACCGGGGAGCCCCGAAACGGGGTCACTGCCAGAGGCTTCTGCAGGGCCTGGGGAATAACCTTCACTGGGGCACTCAGGAGCCAGCTCAGCCTCTTTGGGAAGGTCCCAAGTGGCACTCAGCTTTCCTGCAAGTCCTTCCTCCATGCTGGCTGGAGTTTTTCAGCAGGAGGAAGGGCTGGGATCATTTCCTCTCCCTCCTCCTCGCCCCGGCAGCATCTGCGAGCGGGTGACACCGCGGCTGTCCCACGCCAACTCTGCCGTGGTGCTGTCGGCTGTCAAGGTGCTGATGAAGTTCATGGAGATGCTGTCCAAGGACCTGGATTATTATGGCACTCTCCTGAAGAAGCTGGCCCCACCACTGGTCACTCTGCTGTCTGCAGAGCCCGAGCTGCAGTACGTGGCCCTCCGCAACATCAACCTCATCGTGCAGAAGAGGTGGGTGTGCAGGTGTCCCCTCTCAGCCACAGGAGCTTCAATCCCTCTGTCTGCAGCAGTGTCACACACATCCTGTAGGGTGATATCTTCTCTGTTACTTAAAATCCAAGGAGAGTTACGGAATTGTGGAATGGTTTGGTTGGGAGGGATCTTAAAGCTCATCTCATCCCGTCCCCTGCCATGGACACCCTCCACTAGAGCATGTTGCTCCAAGGCCTGTCCAGCCTGGCCCTGAGTCAGTCAAGTGAGGGAATGAACAGGGAGCTAAGCTGGGCTCTTCAGTTTAATGTATCCTTTAATTTAATTTATTCTTTATTTGGGGCAGCAAAGGATGGCAAAGCCAAAAGCTGGGAAACTTTGGAGTAGTCCCTCCGTGTCTAGGGAGGGATTTTTGTGCTGCCAGCTGCTTTCTCCACAGTTGTCCTCTTTGAACAAGTGCTCAGAGTCCTTTTGTCCCTTTGCTGATCTAAAATCCTGGAGGTGGCTGAGGCCCCACACGTGTGCCTGGAGCAGGAGTGGCAGCTGGAGAGCCCCAGCCCAGTCAGATGATTTGTTCTCCTCCCAGTCAGCGCCGTGGTCGTCTCTTAAAAATAGCAGCAATTTCTGGGAGAAGTGGAAAGCAATTAGTGTCCCTGGGAGTGGCAATGTGGAAGGCAGCTTGGAGCTGGATCTGGCCTAGCTCTTTCCCAGCTTAGAGAGAGGGTGAGCTGGTGAGAAAGGTCCAGCCTAGCCCTGGGGTCTGGATTTGTGTCCCTGCTCCCACTAAAATGTGCCTCCAGCCTTGGCAGGACAAACGTCCCCCGTTGCCTCACGTCTGGCCCGTGTTTGTGACAAGGTTGTGCTCTGTCCCCTGTGTGCCAGCAAAGGGGAGCCAGGGGACAGAATCCTGGGGGATAACCACGGTGACTTGGATTCCTTGGCATTGAATAGGCCCCCAAAACCTTGGGACTGGGGTGGGAGTGAGTGCCTGTCCCCCCTAATGCTGCCTCTCGTTGCCCCAGGCCCGAGATCCTGAAGCACGAGATGAAGGTGTTCTTTGTCAAGTACAACGACCCCATCTACGTCAAACTGGAGAAACTGGACATCATGATCCGCCTGGCCTCCCAGGCCAACATAGCCCAGGTCAGGAGTGGGGCTGGGACACCCAGGGCCACCCCAGGGCCACCCCAG